TTTTACTTGCTTTCCTAGGAGTAGTGATAGTTTGTAAGGAAAATTCATTCATCAATATATCATACGACCCTTGATTTTCAAGGCGCCGGAGCACCATCCTTGTTGTTCGTTCACTCACCCCATATATCACACGACCGTCGCTCCCTGAGCAGCGCGCCGAAGCACCGCCCAAAACCCACCACCAACACCATCACTCAACGGCCTTGTAGTTCAGGCCGTGAACCTAACGGCCGAGACCAGTTCCTCTCTCGGCTATAATCGTTTGATTAGAAGACGAGTTCAAACAGGCGCACCACTTATCCATCCAACACTCATCAACACCTCGACGCACGGTAGACCATGCTGGCACGCCCGCGCACAACCGCACCGCACCCAAAAGCAAGAAACCGCGTGTCAACGCATATCCCCTCGGCCCGGAACTCCAGGCCGTGAGATTTGCGCAGCAGACAGAGCTGAGAGAGGCTTTTAATGTTGTAGAGAAAGAGAAAGAGATCTCCAAGGCAGACACAGCCAAAAGAGGAGAAGAAGAAGTGAGATTTCCTTTAGTTTTTTAGGACAGAACTAGTTAATTTTCATATATATTTCTTCTAATGTGAATTCTGTCTCTTTGTAGGAGGAAATTCTTGCTGAAGTGATAGCAGAGAGCATTGAGCTGGCCAAGAAACAACAAGAGGATCAAAGAGGAGAACCCACAAGCTCAGAACTGGCCCTTTTTGATGATGTGGATGCAAAAAATTCTACTGCTGTTTCAGAACCTGAAGTAATTTCTGCTTTCTTTCCTCAATTATGTCTGGTCTTTGTCTCATTTAACTAATGTTTGTCTTTCCAGGTGGAGAAGGACTTAACTAGTGGAGAACTAGCTCTGGTGACAAGTCCTCTCAAACCTATGATTGTGGCTGTAAGTATTGCTATGCCTCAGCATTTCTTCTTTATTTAGTCCTACACGTAACTAACTATGACTTTTCTGTAGATGCCTCTTCATTCTGTCCCAAGCTCATCGACCACAGCCTCCTTTGCTGATCCAGAATTGGCAGAGTTTGAAGCTATGGACTTGGAGGCTCAACTGCAGAAGCTTGAGAAACTGGGAGCCACTCCAAGTAAGGCTAAGTCCGAAGCAGTGAATGAGGCAGTGGACAGAATAAGAATCAGTCAGTCAACTGAACTAGATCTGGATGAGAATAAAGAAGCCATTGATCAATTGATGATGGATCTGGAACTGCTGCATAGGGAAAATGTGGCTCCTAGACCTATCCTTGAGATCAGCCTGGGCTTGGCAAGAGATGTACTCAACCTCTACCACCGTTATGAAGATCTCAAGCCCTCCTTCAATGCTTCTGAGTTCTGCAAGGCCACGCATGAAGCCAACTTGGTGGATTATCATAAACAAAAGTCAGAACTGGATGCACTGGTTGCATATTATAAAGAGACCAAGTCTGCTGTTGATAAGCTGGAGAAGCACATTGAAGATCTCCAGAAACAACTAGCCACATTAAGGGATATGCATAAAGATCTTAGGGCTGGACTGGGAGTGGAGACTAAGGCCACCTTTCTTGTGCAGAGCATGGTTTTGGCTTCAAAGCCTGCATTTGAGATTGCAAAGGCCTCTATCCATCAGGGAGTGCTCCTCCAGAAAGAAATATCCATCAAGAAAACTGGATTGCAGGAAACTCTCCAGAAACTAGGACTCTAGACTCTACCTATTTGTAATAAAACTTAGTCATGTATTAATGACTATATTTAATGGAAAAGTCCTATTTATTTTTGTGAGCCTTGCATTTTCATTTTCATTTAACCAAACAACAAAGAAGGGCATAATTGATAAACAAGAAACAAAAATCTATATGAACTAACTGAAAAGTCAAATAACAATTCCATCCTTCTCTCCTTCGATCCCAGGATCTGTTTGCACTGCCTGTGAATCCCACATAATTTGATAAAACTTCTTTAACCATTTGTCATTGATTGGCGCAGCATGGATTTCTCCATCTTGGTCTTATAGCATGTATGCCCCTAATCCAAGGACTTGTTTAATTATAAAAGGGCCTTCCCATGTGGGTGACCATTTTCCATAACCAATCACGTGGGATCCAAGGGGCAGAACTGCTTTCCAAACAATTTCTCCCTCTTCAAAACTCTTGTTCTTAACTCTCTTATTATAGGCTCTTGCCACAACCTCTTTTCCTGCTAGGAGCTTGTTGAAGGTATTAATTCTTCTTGTGTCCAGTCCTTCCAATTCTAGCAACATTGCTTGTGAATAGTCTTCTCCGACTAAGTTATGCTGCTCGACAATTCTGATGGATTGAACTGTGATTTCCATGAGTAGAATTGCGCCATGTCTATAGGTTAGAGCATATGGAGTCATGGCAGTTGCCTCTCTCTTTGAAGTCCTGTAAGCCCATAAGGTTTCTGACAGTTTTTCATTCCACTGCCTTGGATTCTCCTCGAGCATTTTCTTGATGATATTAATGATCACCTTGTTGCTTGATTCTGCCTGTCCATTTGCTTGAGCATAGTAAGGAGTGGATTGGACTAACTTGATCTTGAGCCTGCCTGCCATATCTTGCATTTCTCTGGATATTAAAGAAGTCCCCCTATCAGTTGTGATTGATTCTGGTATGCCAAACCTGTGCACAATCTGTTCTTCAATGAAGGTGATGATCTTTTAAGATGTGGTGGATTTAATTGGCTTAGCTTTTACCCATTTGGTGAAATAATCTGTAGCCTCAATGATGAAACAATGTTGTTTTCTACTGGCTGGATGGATTTTACCAATGAGGTCCATTGCCCATCCTCTGAATGGCCATGGCTTGACGACTGGATTCATGGGAACTGAGGAAGCTTGCTGGATTGGTCCATGTCTCTGGCAAGCCTCACATCCTTTGGAATATTCAATGTAGTCCTTCATCATGGTAGGCCAGAAGTATCCGTACCTTCTAATCAGCCAGCACATTGTTCTTCTACCTTGATGTGCTCCACAGATTCCTTCATGGACTTCTCCTAAGACTTTCATGTGTTCTTCTTTCCCTAAGCATCTTAGGAGTAATTCATCCTTACTTTTTTAGACCAAATCTCCATTCCACATGAGGTAGTTCAAAGCTATGATCCTTATCTTCTTCTTAGAAGGAAGGGTTGTATATTGCAGATAATTAATTATAGGCAATCTCTAGTCTTCCTTAGTCATTATGGCAGCATTGACATCTATCTCCATTCCTCTGGTCATAACAGATGGTAGACTCTTCTTCCCTACCTTGATGATTTTCTGGACACAGTCTTCAGGCATTTGCACTCCTGTTGCTATTTGAGCCATCTCATTGGCTGCCAAATTCTCTTCTCTTGGAATATGTTCCCAAGTGACCTCCCTGAATTCTGCTAGGAGATTTCTGGTTGCTACCAAATAAACAGCTAAGGACGGATTTAAACACTTATATTCTCGAGCAATTTGCTTCAGCACAAGCATGAAATCTTCTAGGATTTCCACAGACTGGATTCCCAATGATCAAAGCTTCGTATTCTGCTATGTTGTTGGTACATTGGAAATCTAGCTGGAATGAATAACCGTGTATGATTCCTAATGGATCTTCTAAAATGATTCCTGCTCCAGAGGCTAAGTTAGTTTTAGATCCATCAAAGTACAACTTCCAAGGACTGAATAAAAATGGGATTATTGAGACAGGTGCGAGCTCTGGTTAGCAAATTTGCACTGGTTATATCCATGGAATCCATGTTCTCAATCTCTTCCCCTGGATGATCTGCCAAGAAATCTGCCACAGCCTACCCTTTGATAGCCTTCTGAGGAACATATCTGAAAGCAAATTCTGATAAGGCCAGAGTCCACTTGCCAATTATGCCTCTCAACATTGCTCTTGTCAACATGTACTTGATTAAATCTGTTTTGGCAATGATGTAGATGGTAAAGGGCAGCATGTAATGTCTGAGCTTTATAGTAGTAAAATACAAAGCCAGACATAGCCTTTCAATTGCAGAATATGTTCTTTCTACTTCTATTAGAGTTCTGCTCAAGTAGTAGACTGCCTACCCTTTTCCTTGTTCTCTTGAGCCAGAAGACTCCCAATAGATAGTTCTGATGCGGAGACATATAGCTTGAGTGGTCTGCCTTTCTTTGGTGGAGACAAAACTGGCGGATTTGAGAGGTAATGCTTGATTTCCTCAAAAGCTTGCTGGTGCTGTTTTTCTCATCTGAATGCCTACTCTTGTTTCAAACTTAGTAAGGAAGAAAAAGGCTGGATTTTTCCGGCAGAGTTGGATATGAACTTTCTGAGAAAATTGATCTTCCCTAGGAGGCTTTGTAATACTTTCTTATTCCGCGATGGCATATCTCCTATGATGGATTTTGCCTTGTTCTTGTCAATCTCTATGCCTCATTGATGGACCAAGAAACCTAGGAAATTGCCTGCTTGCACCCCAAAAACGCATTTCCTGGGATTCATTTTCAATTTGTGTTGTCTCATCTTTAGGAAAGCTTCCTTTAGATTGAGTACATGATTCCCCTTTTCTTGAGATTTAATCACCACATCGTCTATGTATACTTGTAGGGAATGGCCTATCATGTCATGGAATATAGAATTCATTGCTCTTTGATAAGTAGCCCCTGCATTTCTCAAACCAAAAGGCATTACAACACCTCAAATGTGCCTATGTGCCCTGGACACATGAAAGCAGATTTGTGGATATCCTCTTCTGCCACCATTATCTGGCTGTATCCTGCATTGCCATCCATGAAAGACAACATCTGGTTATGAGCGGCTCCATCTACCAACATATCTGCCATTGGCATGGGGTACTCATCTTTGGAGATGCTTCGTTCAAGTTTCTGTAATCCACACAGATTCTGACTGCTCATGTCTTTCTTTTAAGGACTGGTACAATGTTAGACAGCCAATCAGCATAAATGGCTGGTATGATAAATCTTGCTTTGACCAGTCTCTATATTTCCTACTTAACTTTCAATTCTATCTCCATAGACATCCTTCTTCTGGCCTGCTTGACTGGTAGGTATCCTTCTTTTATTGGTAGTTTGTGCTCTACCAATCCCCTATCTAGTCCAGGCATTTCGTGATAATGCCATGCAAAATAATCTCTAAAATCATGCAGAAGTGCAATGATTTCACTCTTCAATGGTTCTTCTAGTAATGCATTGATAAAAATGGGCCTAGGATCCTCTTCTGTCCCCAAATTTATTTCTTGCAAAGGGTCTTCCACTTCTGGTAAAGAGTTATCTCATGCAAATTACAATTCCTCCTCCTGTAAACTTTCATGTGTGAATTCTGCCATATTAATGGCTGAACTCTGCATGGAAAGCTTCCTTTCTTCCCAATATAACAACAATCTATTTGTAATGGATCGCATTGTTGGAGCTCGATCCTTCTCTTGTTGGTTTGAGCTAAACATCAGAATTTTGGAGGTTTAGGACAAAAGGCCTATTCCAGTCCTCCAGAGAACTAGCCAGACCTTCTTCAATGAGCCTCTAGGTCATGACACCATGGAGGCGGCTGTTCTGATTGACTCCAAAGAAAGTAAAAGGACCAAGATCATCATGATAATACCTGGCCTCGAAACACAAAGTAGATGGTAGAAATGGCCATGGATCGGCCTCTACTATCTCCATAAATCCCTCATCATGCCAGAGGGCCTACTATTGGTGTAGAGTGGAAGGAACACATAAACTTTGGTGGATCCAGTCCCTGTCAAGCAGTGCATTGTAAGTGGTAGAAGTGGTGTCTACCACAAAGAAAACAATCTTCAGCTTCTTGGTTCCTACTATAACATCCACATCCAATATCCCGTGGGTTTTGGTGATGCCCCCAGCGAAGTTGGTGACTGTTAAGTGTGTTGCGATCAAGTCTCTCTCTGTTCTGCCTATCTTGACCAATAGTCTATGAGGTAATAGATTGATGGTTGCACCTCCATCTACCATCACCTTAGGGATAGAAATTCCTCCAAAGTTTGCAGTGATGAACAATGGTCTGAGATGGTTGGCCATCTCCCTGGTAGGTTTGGAAAAGCACAACCCTTCTGCAGCCATTTTTATGGCAGTTCTACCTGCTTTGGCAGCAATATTCTGTTGTTCTGGCACTTCTTCTATTTTAGCCAATCTACATTCAAAGCTTTCTTGGGAGAACACGTCTCCTTCCAAGATGCTTTCTTGCCCTTCTGCTGCTCTGAACTCTTCTGACAGGATAAATACCATGTTGATGTCTAAATCACCCTGCAGCAAGCTTTCTAGTTCTGTACCAAAAACCTGAGTTTCTTCATCTAACTCTTCATTGTATTATGCCTGACCACACCCCTCAGTCCAGTCTTCTTGATCTTCTGTTTCAAGAAGTCTAATCTGGGCGTCTGCAGATGGTTCATAGTCCAACTGCTCTTCTTCGTACTCTTCTGTCTGGTTCTCTTGATAATCTTTTGGAAAAATTCCAGACTGTTCCTGTGAAGATGAACCATGGCAGAAAGAGGATCCAATTAGCCCCTCATGTTGATGTACTACCTGTTCTGTTTGGACATTCCTCTCTCGATCATTCTCAATTCTGGCAGAATTGGTATTTGTAAATACTTTCGTATTATTACTGTTTTTGAGGAAAGTGCAATACTGCCTCTGGATTCTCCTTCTTTGCGTTCCGGTCAGCTCTAGGGTTGGCCTGCCATTCTTTCCAACAAAATACCATCGCCTTCTATGAAAGTAGCCAATGGTTTGTCTTTTCCGAGCACTTTGATTGGCATTTCTTTCTTTGGCTGCTTGTTGTGTAGATACAGCTGCACCAAAATGGATTCAGTTGCATCCTCAACTTGTGATACTCGCAAGTGCACGAGCCGTTTGGTAGTATAGCATATGTAAGTGCGAGGTCGATCCCACGAGGATTGGTGATTGAATGATCCAATTCATTTTCCCTATACAAAACAGAAACAAAAACAAAGAACATGAAAGAAGGAAAAAAGAAAATAAGAAAGTAACTCAAGCAAATAAGTTCCCAAGTTCAATTAGATTAATGGATTGATTCTAGCTAAAGTATGGTTAAGCCATGGTGTGTGGTCATAACCTTGTGTTCCTAATTCCCTAATTTGATCATTTGTTGTCTAACCTAAAATTAAGCATTAGGAACCCATTAAGCATAGAAGAACAATTTAAACAACCAAGCATGTATCTAATCCCTGTTGTCGAATGTCCATACATACTCTTCCTATTCATAGTTCAATTCGAATTAAAGCATAGTGTCTACTCTTAATTCAAACCAAGATAGCTAACATGCAAGCCTAAATGGTGATCAATCATTCAAACTAGCATATTAACTTATAAGCATAATGAATAAGAACATGAATCATGAATCAAACTTGAAACTCCAAACTTATAAACCCAGAATATTCATGTTAGGTTACATCGAAGCCCTAGTTATGGATTTAGCTACTCATAATGGAAAAGAAACTAAAACAGAAATGGGAAAACATAATGAATGCCATAAGAGTAGAAAAACCCTTTTCTGAAGATCTTGTGGTGT